CCAGACGCCAGGTTTTAGGCTGCCACCAGAGGCGGGGCATAGGCACTAAAGCAACAAGACAATAGAAGCCTACATCTTGCCCAAGATAATTAGCTTACATGCTGATGACAAGGTAAACACCTTTAAGTTTTACTTGTCAGGATTTTTTTTTTAATGTCTTAAAAAAGAGAGAGAGAGAGAAGGAAAGAGAGACCCCGTGAGCACAACTCATTTTATTTTTCGCGGGGGTGGCAACATCGTGGACGGGAAATGGAAGGCAAGGAGAAAAGACCCCCCATTTGACTGGGTGAAAGGAGTTAAAATCAGCTCCCGGGTGGTAAGGTTGTCAGCCCAGCCTTTGTGAGAGCTGGGGAGACGGGGCTGAATGCCAGTGAGCAAAAGGGCCGAGTCCCCCTCTTCCCCCCCCCGCCCCCCAAGTTCGGTCTGGAAGGAGCCCCGCCGCTGGGAGGGCAGATGTGTTGCCCTGGGCCACCGCTCCTCACTGGGCGGGTCAGGTACCCCGCCCGGCGGCCGAACAGCCCTTGGGATTTAGCATCTCGGGAGCCTTCTCCATGTCCACTAAGACCCCCAGTGCGGCGATCGTTTCTCTCTCTAAACCCATAAGTTCCGTTCACCTAGGGCTTGCTTTTTTTTTGTCTTGCCCTTTTTTTTTTTTTTTAACCTCAGGAAGAGATGGAAGGTGCAAGTTTGCAAAACAAGCAGTAATTTAATTGCCTGGGGCGAGGGACTGCTGAAAAATAGGTTAGCGCAAAATGTCGCTCGTTATTCTCAAAAGCAAAGACTGTCACAGGCTCTCGTGGTCCCTCTGAACCTGCAGCTGCTTTCTAAGGTTATTTATACAGCACGGGAGCTGGATGGAGAAGACCTCTCAGGTCATCTGCTACACCACCTTGCCAATGAATTCCCTGCAGTTTCGAATAAATCGCAATTTCTGGCACTTTCGGATCTGTCCTCGGATCCGGCGTGGAAACAAAAGCGAGCCCACTCGCAGCCACACACACGTACATGCAGCCAGCAGCCACTGTCACTCAGGTCTTTGAAGAAATCTCCCAAGTTGTCCAGTGTCTCCACAGCTTGTATTTCGGGGTGTTCCCGGGCGGAGGAGAGAAACCTTCCCTGAGTGTTTCACACCCCAGCCTACTGCCCTGGCAAACCCAATTTAATACAGCGATTACCTGTATATTAAGAAAATTACAGCGAAGGTACAGTTAACCCAGTGACTTTGAAGTGTCAAGTAACTATTTAGTAATTGCACTTGTAAATATGTTTGTGCTCGGCTGGTTCGTGCTTAAAAATGCAAAAGTGCACTTGCTACCCGGGAATAACTAAATATCTTTGTCTAAAGTGGCAGCATAAACAGCCGGCCGCTTTGTGACTGTGCTTGATATTAGTACATAAGGATCATTTTGCTTCAATTGGGAGGCTCTCATTCACTAGGCAAGAAACCGTTTAGGAGAAAGTAGGTTCCCGTATGAGAGTTAACATCCTTCAAGTGTAAGCCTCAGCCTTGATTACACTTTAGAGCTCTGCAAGAGGTGAGCTTTTCCACACAAATATAATCGGGGGAACTTTCCTTCAATCAGGCCCCCAGCTCTCCTACATCATCTCAGCTGTCTCTTTCGGCACCAGCTCCCTCAAGGCTGAACACCCCGAAGTGGGCTTGTTGTGAGTCTGCGGGGTCACCAAAGGCAGAGAAGGGTGACTTTGGGCTAGAAAGGCGGCTGCTTTTACCTCTTTTCTTTCCACATCCTTAGATCTTGTGATCTTGTCTTTCCAGATCCCTGGAACACTCCCCCCCACCCCCCCGCGCGTGTTTTTCACTACGGTCTTTTGGTTTTGTTCCTACAGAGAGAGACACTCGACCTTGCTTTGGTGGTTTGGTTTCCACCCCCACCCCCCGGATTTCTCAGGTCCGTGCCTGTTTTATTAGCCTTAAAAAGGAGGAGGCGGATAGGGGGGAGAAATAATAAAAATAAATACCACAGGATCCACCAAAATGACGCTGCGGGTCAGCTCAAATCAGACACGAACGACAGCGACTGACTGTGCCATTTGTGGGGCAGGAGCAGCGACTCCGTTTCTCTCCAGGGAGAATTCGAGGTGGGGGGGCTGGG